AGCAGGAACATGGCCCTGCGGGTACCCTGATTTCAGACTTCTGGACTCCAAAACTCTGAGAACAAATTTCTGTTGTTTTAAGCCACTCAGTTTTGGTCATTTGTTATGGCAGCCTCAGGAAACTAATACAAGAATATAATAACCAATGTGCATGTATTGCACATTGGTTACACATGCATGTATTATGTAAGTTGCACTGTGAGATGGCAAGATGTAACTGATGACACTAAATTAACCAAGGAAAAACTTTCTAAAAGAACAGATGTTGAATAAAGGAACTAAGGTTTAACAGCAGAGAGGTAACAGGCTATTTGTTAGGCTAAGCAATGTAAATAAAATCTCAGAAGCAAGAGAGTGAAAGAACTATGCTAAGAAACTGTCAGAAGCTTTAGCTACCTGGAACAGAGATTTAGAACACAGTTTTGGATATATTTATTTTAGTTTTAAGTGTCACCATGAAACTACTAAATCATTTTAGTTCTGAAAGTCTTTCATTCTGTACCATGATCATAAAATGGCCTGGCTCTATAAACAAGTTTCATATGTAACATCAAAATTCTATAAACTGAAAAGTATTGTTCTGATTTAAATTCAGTGACTTTTAAAAAATTATAAATCACTAGATACTCTTTAATATACTACAAACATGTAATAATGCTTCAGTATGTCTATTTCTAAAAATGAAGAGATCATCCTAGCTTCTGCAGTTAAAAAAAACAAAAAATGAACGCTATAGTTTACCTTTTAACTGGAATAAAATTTATATCAAAAATCTGAATGAATCTAATAACAAAATTTCCAGGTATTGAAAGGACAATCTTTTCAAAAAGAAAAGCTGAAAGTTAGAGCAATAGTCTACGATTACCCAAAAAGAAAAACTTCAGATGATTTAACTTGATTATCCAAATCAATCAAATGTGCTATTCACACGCAGAAAACAGATCTGTTTAATTACCTTCTGTAATTACATCATGTAATCGCCACATAAAAACCTTCTTTTGTAGTATAACTCAAAACTGATGTACTATATAAATGTAGTCATTTGCTGCTTTTCCTTCTTTACACATGACTGAATTTCAACAACTCCATCTCATCTTTTTATGACTTGTCAGTCCCAAAGTAAATTCTTCTTTAATGTAATTAGTAATCAATTATAAGAATTATCTGTGTGACCCATATGTCTATAGAAATAAACTCTGGCAGGCGGGTTAGCATTGGAGAGTCTACTTAGGGAGAAACTTGAAAGTGGGATGAATAACTTTACCCCACAACTCAAATATAAACGAATACCATCTGGTGCCATTAAATTCAAGTTTGCTTTTTAAATACTACAGTCAGGCAGCCAGTTTAAATACTACAGTCAGGCAGCCAGTTGAAGGACTAGCACAGTCCCTCTTAAAGCTGGCTGCACATTAGAATCACCTCAGGCAGAGAGGAAGGGCCTTACAAAAGTACCTAAGCTTATGACCTGCCCCCAAACAATTAGGATCTCTGGAGGTGGAACCTGCTCTTTTATTTAAAGCTCCTCTGGTGATTCAGTGCACAGCCACGGCAGAGAACCAGGGCTGCACTACTTGAAATTCCCCAGCCATCGGGAAAGTTGCAACAACCTTTAGAAACCAGTAGGTGGCCAGAGACAACACTAAGGAATCAGTTCGGACTTCTAAGGGTTTCCATCTGGTAAATGAAGATTGTCTTTCTTCACTTATTGATAAAGACTTCATAAAAGTAGAGAGGCATGGGATATAGTGGAGAAAGGAAATGTAAAGTCAGGGTTTAAAAAAAATTACAGTATTTTTAAGATTAAATATTCAGTAAGCAAATGAGATATAGCTAGCAGATATTATATTAGAATTCTGCCCTTTAGAGCAGTGGGCAGCAAACTATAGCCTGGCCAGAACCTGTTTTTGTAAATAAAGTTGTACTGGAGCACAGTCATGCCCATTTGTGTTGTCTATGGGTACTTTCAAGCTACAAAGGCAGAGCTGAATAATTTCAAAAGAGACTGTGTGGCCCACAAAGCTGAAAAGATTTACTATTTGTCCTTTTACAGAAGTGGTTTGCTGATCCCTAACCCAGCCAAATGAACATACTTAGTAAACTATGACCTTACCTCCCCTGCTCTACAGTGAGTGGATGTGGATCTGGGAGGGCTGACAGAAGACGGATAAATTAAGTGTATGCATTTTTTTTTACTGGAGTATAGTTGATTTAAAATGTTGCGCTAGTTTCTTTTTTTAACGCATTCAGGGTGAAAAAAAGGACCATTGTATTAGCCAGTTTTGTGTTCTCCATACAAGTTCTTTTAGTATAGTATATACTATAATATATAGTACACATCTATACTTTACATGCAGAGAAAACATCTCTGGTCAAGCAAACTACTCTAGCCAAGAAAAACATAATGGAGTCAAAGGATTTGTTTTCAGTTAAAAAGGGGTACAAACTGCTCCTAGGCTAGGAGTGACGTCTAGTGCGAACCACAGAGAGAACAATGATCATGTAATGAGGGTGGCATTCAATGGTGATGCTTACTACCTCAAAGAGGAAGAGTAGGGAGCGAAAATCATCACTGCCTCAACCATAATGGCAGAGTCAAGACTGACTAGGGCCAGTGACAAAAGCATGTTTCCCTGTATGCATCCCTCTTAAAAGTGTGTGAATTCAAGCCTCCAAGAAGAGGGAGAATGGGGAGAGAGCCTTCCTTTTGTTATTTCTTCTTCAATTTTCTAAATAAGGGCTTGCTATCAGGTCAAAGAGAAGCCTTATCTCGTAGGTATTTAAAGTCAGGCAGGTAAAAATAAATGGATAGGGCAAGGCTAAGAATGAAACAGATGACTTAAATGTGCAAACTTAGATCATGTAGAAAATGGAAATATACTAGATTTTAAGAGCTAGAAGGGCACAAAGGAAGTACAAAGAAAATGACTTTAGTGTTGGAATTAAGCACTGACTAAAACAAAAGGAAAAAAACAAAAGAAGTTGGGCTGCTGGTAAGAAAACTGTAGTAATCCAGATAGAAACTATCACCCACCTAATGGGTATAGTTAAACCATGTTAGCTAAGAGACCAAGATGAAAAAGATTGCAGAAGAGTATATACAGTATACATTCTTTCCAAAAGAAATTTTGTGTATTTTAAGAGTTGTTTACATACAGAGAAAAGTCTAGAAGTTGTTAACAGTGCTCATTCTGGGGAATGGAATTGGAGAAAGAATTCTTAAATTCATGTTTCTGTCTATGTTTACTTTTCTGCAATGAGAAAATATTATTTCTCAAATTTTATTTTTATAAAAATTTCAAAAGCTTAAACATTTGTAAGAAAAGGTGGGTGGCTGCGCCAACTATTCAGATGAATGGGACAAAAGATAATAAAAATAGTCATCTCTCAAGCATGTATGAGTGCTAGGTACTGTGGTAAGTACTTTAAAGAGGTTTTCAAATTCCAACAAATTTCTGTGATAAGCAGTTTACTATTCTACAACTGCAGAAACTGCAACTTAGAAAAGACAGGTAACTTATTCAAGGCTGCACAACAAAACAGAGTTGGATTTTACCTTAATCTGACTCCAAAGCCAATATTCTATGCTGTGAGTAGTCACAGATGACTCTAAGGTTTCAGCAGAGGTGTCACACTAGTGAGTGACCATCTCAAAATCTTTGGTGCTATCCCTATCTGACGGCAGGTTCATTAGGATCAAAGGAAACACAAAGAGTCAGTGTTAGTCAAGTATAAAATTCTCTTACTGACCCTCAGTATTCCTGTTAGGTTAAAACCTATTACTATTTTGCAATTTTTCTCCAAGATCCAGACAGAAGGAATTCCACAACTCAATTATTTTAATTTGTTGCTGCCTAAGAATCTTTAAGTAATGTACTTTCCTACATGTAAATAATCCAGCCATTACGTATATTTAAATATTTCTTTTCATTCCATATAGCTAAACTTCTTTTATGACCTTATCCTCTTATCTCTTTTGTACCACACAAAAACATTTACTGGTGCACACAGCTCAAGAAATATACTTGATCGGCCTCACCAACACCTACATGGTAAGTGCAAGAACCTCAAGATCACCAATTCACTAGAAATCAAATTTTAAAAAATAATTAGTACAATCAAAGGGAAACGGAGCAGGACCCTGTGGTCCTTGCCCTCCATGTCCTCAGCCTGCCTTTTTGCCCGTGGAAAAACTTGAGTCAAACAATAAGTTTAATCAGAGAAGTGAGAATATGCAGAAGCAAAGAAAAGCAGTCAAATGGGACAAAACAATAATAATTTAGTCAGTAAGCCAAGTCGAGGGCCTTCCGTTCCTTCTCAAGGGCTATAGGTAATATTCTGGGCCACATCCTGGGAGCTGTCTGATAGGTACTGAAACCCCCAGTAGGTGGACGTTAACTACATGGCGACAAGACTGCGCTGAGACATAAGCTGCCAGAAACCGAGAACTGGCCTCAAAGAAATGGAAACAAAGCAACCCTGGAACTGAAGGTTAACTGTGCTTAAAATAATCACGACGACGCTGGTCAGACCACTGCAAGACCAATTTCAAGACGGCTGTCAGAGCTGGCTGTGCCGTTTCCACATGTGGCCCCTCCCTCTGTCTACAGAAGCTCATGTCCAGAGGTTGTCGGCGGGGCAGAGTCAGCCTTTGGACAGGCGTCCAACACTGCACCCCACCACCCGACCTCGGCCTTTGCCGGCATCCAAAACAAAGCAAACTTTCCTTTCCACCAATCTTGCCTCTTTATTGGCTTTTGAGCAGCCAGCAGCCAGGCCCCAATTTCGATAACAAAAGTACATAACAGGATAGAACAGAAAAGAAACACTCTGCATCGAAATGTTTGAAGTTTTTGAAAATGCTGGCATAACACAGCATAAATTACTGATAAAGTTACTGCCCTCTTTGCATAACGACTCAAGGTCTTGCTTTCCTTTTCACAGCATTATGGAGACTTCCTAACAATTTTCTATCTGCTGAGGGTTCTAAGGTTTACAGAAAAGAAAATGGGTTGCTACGCAAAGGTAATAGGTGGGACCATACAAAACTGTTAATATTCTACCAATTTTGACCTACAAAACTCGGAATTTCATATGGTTTAATCTACTTTAAAAATAGGGAAAACACGGTGGAGAGTAAACTGGAAGTGGAGATCCAGCTCAAAGACATCAGAGTTCTAAGTCCCATCTTTTAAGTTTGCTTTAAAGGTTAAGAGTGGAAAGTATAAACTTTTAATAACTGCCAAGAAATAATGTTGGACTATATTAAGTAGAAAGTTTCCTAACACACATTTTACATGGATAAATACCAAACACCAAACTTCTCTCTTATCCAATTCAAAAAGAATCCACTATCAGACCAACTTTTTCTCAAGTTCGGAGGTTGCAGTTTACTTCTCCACCCCTCTCCACCAAGTTTATACTGTGTGTAGACAAAGCTCCTACAGTGATTGCGCTTTGCATCAAATCTAGTAATATGCCAAGTGTCCTCCACGGGCCTCGGGTGGGCTTCCGGGAAATCCCGGCGCTCCCATTCCCCCTGCGTCACCCACCCTTGCAAAAAGACAAGCGTCCCAATCCTGGGAGGAGGGGCGGCGGACAGGTGCGCCCCAAAACGCGCTGCGAGACTTCGGCGTCGCTTCCCCATTCCAGGCCTGTTTCCTCCCTAAGAAAATTGGGGGCGGGGGTGGGGAGACGGGAACGGGGAGATTTCCAAGCTCCATTAGGGCCTCAAAAGTGCAGTCGCCTAGTCCTTTGTTCCTGGCCACGGCGGAATACGAGACGCGAAGGGGTGGGGGGGGGTGGGGGTTTCCCGTCGTCCAGGCAAAACGACCGCTTGAGGACCTGAAGCCGGCTCCCTTCCTCACTCACCTGCTGAGCGGGAAGCCCCGCCGGGCGGAGCTCGGGTCCCCTCAGGATCTGCCCCTCCATCACCAGCGCCACAGCCAGGGCCGCCGCCACTCTTCCAAAGGTAAGATTTGAAAAGCCCGCCCCTGGCTGGAGCAGCGGAGTACGCCAACCGCCGGGACGTCCCGGGCGTACCAAGTCCCGGCGTAGAGGGGGCGAGGGGGCCTGCGAGCCGGCGCGCGCACGCGCAGTGGCCGCGCCCCGCGCCGCCCACGCTTGAACGTTGCGGAGACCCGAGTTCTCAGTGCCCGCTGGACAATAGGGAGCGGTGGGCTGACTTAAGGCAATGCTTGGGGTGTGGGCGGGCCTGGGACAGGAGTGGGCAGGGTCATGGGGAAAGCAATGGTCACTGAGAGCACCTAACCTCGTGCACGATTTCGGCTGCTGGTTTTCAAGGCCAGCCTTTTGCGCAGGGAGCTTTCGGCCTGCATCCCACCGTAGGCCCTCCAAAGCGCTCGGGGTGGGCTGACCCAAGGCTGCAGTCCCTGGACTCCCACAGACAACCCGTGGTCTCACTCCCAGAGAACCAAATGACACTGCCCTCAGCGATCACTCTCACACACAGTACAGATTGTCACCCGGGGTCACTTAGAGATCATGGCCTTATTAATCAGGCTGGTGAGACACCGTGTCAGGCATTTCACAAGCCCTTTTCTTGTGTCCACAGTGTTTCTTTGTAATTCCAGATGCCCCTCCCCCGAGCCGAGTAGTCTGTTATTTCTTGCAAAAAACCTCTTTCATTACTCTTTC